AGGAAGGGTAATTTTCCTCAGGTCTATGCAGAGTCAATTACCATAGACAGTGAAGCCTTTTAGACATATGTTGACTGCCAAGTTCCAAAAAGGGAACAGAAGGATACCTAATTCTGTGGAATTTATAGTTAATTCTTCAGGCAAAGAGGAGAGGCCCCAATGAATTCTAAACCAGGTAGCAACCTAATCTGAATTGAAATTTAGAATGATTATAATTGAAGCTGTGCTGAATTTTGACCAGGGAGGACAATGGTGGAGGCAATTAGGAGATCATTAAAAGTAATCTGAGCAAGAGATGAGTAGAAGGGATACAGAAGCTGGGAAAAGACATTGGGGAGGTAGAATTAGTGGAATTCAGCACCTCAGTGATGTGGAGACTGGTAAGGTTGTGTGACATGTGCTATGGATGGCTCTTGATTTGTTGAATGGGATCAGCTAACGGGGTACTTACTGTATATCAAGGAAAAATGGGGTGAACAAATAAATGTCATAGTATCTGAAGAACAGATAGACCACTAGACATGTCAGCAAATAGGAATCCCAAAAAGGAGCTACAAAAGAAGCCTAGAGAGCAACAATCCAAGTTCAAACAGGAATAGACCAATAGATCTGATAAGTCAGACAATTTAGAAAATCTGAGGTGTATAAAGAAACCGCACTCCAGTTAACATATGCAAATTGCTTTTCAAAAATGAGTTAAATATCAATTCTATGATTTTTTTTCTATGCTAGACCTGATATCACATGCCTATAATCCCAGTTACTCAGGAGACTAAAGCAAGAGGAGGATCATTTGAGCCCATGAATTTGAGACTAGCCTCCATCTCAAAATCAGTCAATCAATCAATATACAAGAAAAAGTACACTTTTTAAATATACTTTTGTTTGATTCTATAGTGGACAATATTCACAAATTACAACAAATAAATATGAAAGTGAAATATAAACAAAGTATATGAGAATTATACTGGGATGTTCAAATAAAGGTGAACAGACATGTTTGCATAACAAAGCTCAATGTTTATCTAGCAAAATGGGAAGTTAGTAGTCAAGGCTAAATATTGATAAATTAAGAAACAGTAAAAAATATTATTTCAAGAAGTAAAACTGGAAGAAACATATAAAAGTTGCAAAAGTAGTTGTTTTTAGGCAGCAACCATTAGTGATGTAGGAGACAAAGGAATTTTTGTTGTTACTCTTGTAAATCTTTTAACAAACCTATATAATATTTTCTATATAGACATAAAGTAGGACAGAAGCACAGGATCAGGGATCAGACTTTCTTGGATTTAAATCTTGTCTCAGAGATTGCACTAACCTTGTAGATGGAAGCAAATTACTGTATCTCTCGATTTTCCTATATCTAACATAGGGAGAAAAAACTAGTGTGCACTTCACATGTAAACTGCTTAAAATAATTCCTGGCACATAACTATGCAGTAATAAAGTAATAAACAAGAATCAATCCTTATTATGAGAATAAATATGAACTACTAATTGACAAAAAAATAAAGATATTAATAACACAAATCATTTTTCAGATGTGGGCTGTCTGATCAATATTCCCAAGTACTAAGCAAGACTTTATTTCTTTAGGCTAGAGTCTTTATTCCATGGGATTCAGGGAAGTGGGGAGAAACTGTTGAGAACTTCTAGTTACAGTTAGTGCTAAAAGAAAAGGAGTTCAAGTTGAGGCCTAAAGATAGAGCATTAGCTGCACAGGCTAGAGTGGGAAGGAAAGGCCTATTACAGACAGGGTTAATGGCACTTACGGAGACCTAGAGGCAAGAGAAACATGGTAATAAAAAAGGCTGGTAGAGCCAAGAGCAGAGTAATGACCAGAGTGGTACGTGCTTGACAGCAGCTGAATCATACCAAGCCTTTAGGCCATGTTAAGAACTGTGCTTTAACCTAAGTGTGATGAAGCACTTTAAGTGGGTGTTACCATGTCCAAATATTGGGGAAAATATCTTTCTAAGTGCCATCTGAGGAACCAACCAGAAAGGATCCTGAAAGAATTCAGACAGAATCCTGGTAGTTCCGTCCACCCACCTACCTCTTCATTCCTGATGGTTCATAACATTCACTTTTGCCTCTTTTAGGAAAGTGTACTCAGTGCCTAACCCCATGCATATCCAAATTGAGACAATATCCTGCACATATTTCTAGCTTTTGTTTTACATATGTAATGTAAACTATATTTCTGCACCTGTGTGTATTTGTACATATATGTGAGGTATGATCAAAGAATACAGTTGATCACTTCAGAAAGTAGCAAGAATGATAGGATAAGTATGCTTAAGGAGGGTGGTTATTTTGAGGATTAATGGCAATATGTCATTTACTGTAATAAATTTTAAAATCTAAATATATTTTGATCATACCATTAATATAAACAGGTATATACCTGTACTCTTGGCTGAGGCAAAAGGATGGAAATCTGATGTGCAGTCTTAGCAAGACTCTGTCTCAAAGTCAAATTAATTAATTAATTAGGACTATATTTCTAGAAAGTTTTGATTTCCAGCCAAAACTTGGAACTTACCCATAAAAATTAAGGTGAAAATAGAGCTGCACTATTTTTCTTTCTCAAATTTTCACCTGGTTATTAACCCTATCAAAATCCTTTCAGAAAAAATTTTGAGTTTGTTTGCCAAATACATTTGAGAACCCACTGAAAGTACAATACTGTACAATGATATTTGATAGACACCTATTGTTTGAGATTTAATCTAACAGCAAGATTCTGCAATCTCAAGCCCCCTAGTGAAATGCTTAATTAGGACTACAATATAACTTTACAAATAATTAATTTTTCTTGTGTGTATAAGATACTTAATACTGTAAATTCAGTACAATAGCACTGTTTTCACACTGTCATAAAGTGAATGTAGTGTGTGTTAAAGCCAATTTTCAAAAATAAAGAGCATTCATGTTATAAGGATATGGATTGTTTTGTGAAACTTTTTTCATTATTATATGCACACTAGAGTGTACTGAGTTAAAACACTGAATGTTTTCTTTTTCAACCAAGAATTGCAGTTTTAAAAATATTAAAGAAATGTGCCTGAAACCAAAAGTCTGGAGTATTACAAATGGATGGAAGACACTGGGTCATTGCCTTATAAAATATGTTTTAAGCCAATACAATAAAAGTTCAAAAGAATAAATAATTTTATTCATGTTGGCCCAGAAATTAACTGTGGCTATGACTACCAAGAAAGGATTAAAAATTTCAATCCACATGGCATCTTCAGTATGCATGTGATCCACAAGTAGAAGAAACCCACGAAGGACTCACTAAGTCTCCATGGAACCAAATATCACTTGGACAGACAGAAACTTAGGTAAAACTGGGCATGGTAGTGCACACCTATAATCCCACTTGGAAGGCTGAGGCAGAAGGATTGCCAGGAGTTTGAGGGCAGTCTGCTCTACACAGTGAGATTAAGAACAACCTGAACTACACAGTGAGACCCTGTCTCAAATAAATAAATAAATAAATAAATAAATAAATAAATAAATGGAAGAAATTTAGGTAAATCAGAGCTAGACAGAGGACAATGACCCTTCTTTAATTACAAAGGCCTCACAAACTACATGAAAGAAAAAAGATAAACATCTTATGATGAATGAGACTGTGGGTGGTGAAATTTAATGATACAGGAATGCTGAGTCAAGTCACTGAAGTTATAATGCTGTCTCTAGCACTAATCTTCAGGTTGAACTAAAGTTGGGATACCTGTCAGCTTCACTTTAATCACAAACTGGATGGGTTCACTGAATATTCAAAGCAACAAGGAAATCTTAAGAATGTTAGAACTAAAGGAAATTTTGGTTATTTTAAGGCCTCATTATCTTTTTTCTTTAAGGTCTCATTATCTTAATACAAGGAAGTACCTGCCTCCTTTTATAAACAGAAATCGAGGCACTCTGTCACTCTATTTAACAAAAACATATTACATTTCTCCCTAGAGGTAAGAATAAAGATATCTGTCAACATCTGCCCAATAACCAATGAAAAGTTAATATTCAAAACGTAGGCTAACATCTACTCTACTTTTTAAACAGCATTTAGCACTTTATTTCTCTGTATGGAGACAACATTATAAGGGTAGGTGAAGCTCTTTTGAGAAAAGCAGTAATGCCTTGGTTGAATGAATAATTATCTTTTATGCTGTGGTATGTTTTTGTTTTTAGCTTTTAATTGCATCTTCTTTTAAAACTATATATGTTGGGGCTGGGGATTTAGCTCAGTGGCATAAGCGCCTGCCTTGCAAGCAGGCAGTCCTGAGTTCCATCCCTGGTACCGATAAAAACGAAAAAGACAAAAAACAAAACAAAACCAAAAAAACTATATATGTTGCCTAAGGCGTTTTAAGTTAAATGTCCAATTTAAAATATATTTTAAAAATTAACAATGCTTAGAGTGTAAAATCGCTACTTATTATGAGAAATTTCTATGTAAAACTGATGGGTTAAACAACAAGAAAAATAGTTGATTTAAATAAACTGCTCAGAATGTTTAAACATGTATGCTAGGCTCCAGATATAAATAGTAAAAGTTAAATTCAAACAAATCTAATTGCAGGGTGTGTCTTCAACCTAATGTATTTTAGCCACAGACTCAAAGAAAAAAGTTACAATAAAAGAAACAACAGGTTTTCTCACAAGTAGAAATTCTCAAATTAAAGTCACTTTCTGATATTAACACTTTTAGTTGAAATGTTTTCATTAGATCGTTTACTTTCCATAGCAAAGTAATCTTAACATGTTCTAAAAATTGGAAAAACGGGTAACTGTGGGGTTCCAACCCAGGAATATTTTCTTTGATGAGTTTCAGAGACAAGGAAATAGAAGTCTAAACTAAGCGTCAGTTTTATACCTAATTCTTAGGTTCTAGAAAAAGCCTAATTAGGCGGGAGAGGAATTTACGTCTGGCACACCCAGGTTCAGACGTGGCAGGATCCTGAAACAAAGTTTACTAGAACCTTTGAGTCATGCCACAGAGAGCCGCAACCGCGATAGCCGGTCCCCAAGTCAACAGGTCCCCTAGGGGCGACGCGTGGCGGGAGCGCGGCAGCTGGCGTTCCTCCCGCCACCAAGGAAAGACCTTGAACGCGCCGGATGCCCTGGAAAGTGGGCGCCGAAGCGAGCGCCCCCGGAGTAGTGTGGGGTCCACACAAGGAACGCGAGGCGAGTTCGCGTGCCGACCGCACAGCGCTTTTGGACCCATAGAGACCCCGCGACGCGCTCGGCGGGCCCGGGAAAGTTGCCGCGCAGCCCCGCCTCCCGCCTTGGGCTCGGTCTCCCCGGGGGTCCGGCCACCTGCTGCCAGCGAGGAAGCGCGGCCGCCCACTCGGGCCACCCGGGACCCCGGCGCGGACGGAAGGGGCGGGCGGAGTGACCGACCTTGGGCGCCGCGCTCGGCCGCCCTGGGGGGCAACTGAGGCTCCGCTCGCGAGCCCCTCAACCGGCCGCGATTCCACCTCAGACGCCGCGGGGACCCGCCCGGCTCTGGCTCCGGCCACGACCCCAACCCCGGTCCCGGCCCCGGCCCCGGCCCCGGTCCCAGCCCCGACCCGCTTACCTGGCGTGGGCAGGGCAGGACAGGGCAGCGCGGAGCGGACAGCGTTGGACACGGGCCGGGAACCAAGCGCAGGTGGAGACAGCAGCGTCTCCACTGGCGGTCGCTACAGTTGCCGCTCAGACGAGCTCCTCCTCCGCCGCCGCCCCCGCCTGCCCACGGGGTCTCCCGCGTTGCCAGGAGAGGCCGCTCCGAGGCTGGGCTGCGGAGTCTCCAGGTGAGCCCGGCCACGCGTACGTGTGCGCCTGCGCGGGGGCCCCGGCCCCGCCCCGCCCCGCCCCGCCCCGCCCCGCCCTACCTGAGGCGCAGGTGAGGCCGCGCCCCGCGAGGCCGCCGCTCCGCCCTGCGCTCCGCTGCCGCTGCCGCTACCGCTGCCGCCCGCGCTCGAGGACTCTCCCCGCGACAGACCCGGGTGGTCCCCTGGTGGCCAGAACACAGGTCTAGGTTCCCACGCACGCTTAGCCGGAGGCCGGCACTCGGCGAAGGCGGTAACTGTTGCCGGCGCGGTTTCCACGGCACGGCTGAGTGGCTTCTGCCAGTCAGTTAGGTCGGTGCGCTTCCTCCGAGCCGTCCTGATTTCATCACTTGACTCACTTCGGAGCTGCTAGTGGTTTCCGTTTCTGAGCGGCCGCTCTGGCAGAGGCGCCTCACGTCCAAAGGAGCGCCTGCCTCTCCCCTCGAGGGGCCTCGGGTGTTTGGCGGGGTCTTGTCAACTTGGGGCGTACCTCTCCTTCCTGGGTCGCTACCAGGGCGCACCGAGTCCCGCAGACGACAGCGGCGACCGTAGTTAGCACCCCTCCCCCCATCCCCCACCCCTAACTTCTGCCTTGTTTAGAAAGAGATCCTGGCTTCCTGGAGTGGGCTGACTTTTACTGTGGGTTTGTTGAAAAGCTCAACATCTATTCTGGAAGGTGAGAACACAGATTCTAGGAAGATTCTAGGTTTAACCGTGTGTGTTTTTGCGGGGGGAGGTCATTTTTTAAAAATCTTACAACTTTCCCTTCCAGCCTTCTGTCCATTGCTAGACCCTTGACACGCCCAAAGCAGGACCTTGTACATCACCTTACAGGGCTTTATCTCAAAACTCTGTGAGTTGGAGGGATATGAAGTGGAAAAATACCTAAAAACTCTTTGGGTGATGTGTATAAATTCATGGTGGCAGATTTTTCAGTAAAGATTGGCTGTGGCCTTCCTCCTACATTTTTGACACATACTCTAGGCTTCTTATCTACTGATTTAATTGTGTTATGTGTGACTTAAAATTTTGATTTATACAATAACAGGATAGTCTTACTTGGCAAGTCGATGGCATTGGTTTTATCAGCCACAGACTATGTGTTTTATACTATATGCATTGGTTTTAAACTTTTGCTTAGGTAATTTCTTGCTCTGTGGAACAGAGTTATTTTGTACGCTTGGAAAGACCTGTGTGCATTGGTAACATTTTAATACCAGTACCTAAACATATTTTTAAACTCCTCCCACCCTCCCACACTCCCTCCCAACATTCAGGAGATAACGTATATGCTACCGTGATAACAATGCAATGATTGTCCTTACGTTCAAAGCTGGAAACATTAAATCACCCTACTTCTTTATTTTCAGTTCTACAACTTCCTTTGCTGTTTGTCTTTAAGCGAAGTTTAATGTTTAATCTCTGGGGAATTTCAGAGAAATCCTAAATGTTTCACCACGAAGTCCATATCCCTTCCATACACCACCCACTCCTCAGTGAAGGAAGAGCCTGAGGGTCAGATCTGATGTTCTACCAGGCAAAGAGCAACAAATTTCAATGACAGGACAGAACAGATGAATATAGCATAGCAATCTGGAATCCAAGGGCCAAGAGGCAGTGGCAGCAAGACTAGTAACATCAAATAACAATTGAACAGAGAAGCCAGGCCAGACCTACAAAAAGAGAGTGCAAGCAAATAGAATACCAAACTGCTGCTCCCAGAGGAACAGAAAAACAAAAGAAAAGAAAAAAAAAAAACCCCACAAATAAACAACAACAGCAAAAAACAAAAAAATTCAAAAACCAGAAAACAAGAACATAACGATCAGGGGTTGCTAGCAACTGTGTCAGTTTTATAATGGCAAGGGGTGATTTAACCAGGGAAAGCAATATTTTGGAATCTGACATTACTTGTAAAATTTCATTATTTGACTATTATATCATTCTGAAAGCATAGTCAAAATTAATGGAATTTTTTTACTTCACAATAAAATTTAAAATGCAATAAGCCTAATAAATGTATTTTTGTGCTGAAATGTTTAGTGTCCCAAATCTAATCACTTGCAGGGTTTTTTAAAGTACCCTGATATTCAAATGTATGAAATGAAGAATTGATGAAACGAAAATTAGCATTTCATCATCAAATAAAATCCAGAGCTTTATTGTATACATGCTTCACAGAAACAAGTTTATTTTAGTAGTGCATGTTTAGCATATAGTGGCAGTTAAGTTAGAAAACTGGGCAGATTTTTGCCAGGAAAGAAGAGGGACAACTATCTCTCTCTTCTGCATGTATGCATGTGTATGCATCATACACACAACTAGCTACAAAACTCTCATTTATATGGCTTTGAAACAATATCCATTGTTTGATCATTTGTTAACATTTAAATTAGTGCCAATACCAGTACCTGGCAATGTATATTCATTGAGGTGCTTAATGAATGTATGTTAAATGAATAAATTAATTAATCAAAAACCATTCAAAATATGTATAGTGTTTTAAGCAAATTACAGGTCCAAAAAATAGCTGTGTGCAACAGTATGGGCAAATGGTCTGGGGCACGATTGAGAATCTGCTGGGCAGTGTACTAATAGATACTGGTTTTCACATACTTCTGTTTCACAAGGCACTATGCAAACAACTTTATCTTCCTACCAGTTATTTTACTTCTAGGCTTAAATTTGTCTTTCCACCAAAACCAGTATTATGTTCAAGATATTTCCAAGTTCCTGACATTCTGTTTAAGGAAAACTCTATGCCAAGACAATCATCCTTAAAAAGAGAACAACTGAATGTAGCAATAATAATTAATAGACAACAAAGATAAAAAAATTAAAATTACCTAACCAAAATAAAATTCATAAAAATAACTGTAACATGTAATGAGTAAGATTTTGCAGATTCCTTAAGTCCAAATTTAAATATTTTTAGTATGTTAATTGTTTGTTTGTTATCTAAGACTTAGCAACTTTAGTTTGAAACATATGCTTTGATTTAAACTTTAAAAACAGTTTTGCCCTATGAAATCCTAGTCAGGATCTCAAAGTTAAACAGAGCTTTGGCTCAAGGATCTAACAGATTGAAATAATTTCTTCCAAAACAAGTGAAAGAATTGAAATGCTGTTGATTCAGATGTAGGATAGTGGTACATAGTGAAGAACCACAAATATGTGTTGTTTATTGTTTGATTGTGTTTTGGTAAAAATGATTCAGCATAATCCTAAATTATTAAAGCAATGAAAATATAGATTATTCAAGTTTGCATTATTTTGAACATTGTATTAATTGTTTTGTTTACCTTGAAGAATATTATCAAAATAACCATCAGAGAGTTTCAAAGATGCATACATTTCTAGGAGGGCAGTTACTGATTTAAATTGCAAAAGAACCATGTCTTGTTAATACTGTATTTATAATACTTGGCACATAGTAGGTGCTTAATAAATATTTGATGAAATGTATTGAATGGATTGCAGAGTTTCAAGCTTTTAAGCATTAGCAGAAAAGCAAAAAGAAATGTCATGCTGAGTTAGACTGATACTTGATATAGCTTTCTCTAAATTCTGACAGTGGCACCCAAAGGTATTTCATGGGAAAATATGATAATATTATTGCATGATGTTGACCTCTGAGACGTATTCCATATATCCCTGACTCATACTTTTCCTAAATTGATTTCTCTTTTCCTATAAAATTATTTTTTATTGCAAAGTAATTCATACTCACTACTGAAAGATTTACAAAGACAAATTCAACTAGTTTTTGTTTTTAATACTCAAAAATTGCTCACACCAGGACAAAATAATGCTACCTGACCCTTTCTAAAGAAGTCTGGAGCTAGGGTTCTCTGGAACAAATATAAGACCTTTTACATGCCAGGCAAGAGCTCTACCACTGAGCCACACATCTGCACAAAATGTAGACGGCACACTGTACATTTGAAAGAATGTTTTCAGTCTGAACTTGTTTTCTATTACCAACCCAAATGTCAGTGAAAGTTGTGTATAATGGAGGAAGACGAGAGTTGTGGGTAGACTAGCAAGGGGTAGGCACTGTTAGCATGCCTACACATCACCATTTTAGGGTCATATTGCACAGCTACGTGGGCCACCATTTGCAGGAAACAGGATGTGCAGGAATGCCACTCTGACCCTTGTAAGCAGAATAGTGAAGGGATTGAAAAAAAATGCTGGCCTCCCAGGCTCTACACTATAAAGCAGTAAGACTTTGATGTTACTCCTCATTCAATATTTATCAGAAAAAGAAACTATGTGGAATCGTGAGTCAGATAGGCCTTGAATAGCCAGCAATCTTATATGCCCCCCAAAATGCATTCTAATGCAGGTGAAATGGTATAGATCCACATGTTTTTGCAATTTTTAAATTTATTTGTATTACCACATATGTGAAGTATATAATGTTTACATTCTTTGTATGAAGTTGGTGCACATACATAACATATCTTAAGTTTTTTTCATCCTCTTTCCCTTCCCTCTATTCCTTTCCTCCATTTCTTGACCCCTTTCCTATTTAAGAAAGATCTATCTCCCTCCTTTTTATTTTGAGCTTTGCCTGTTAATGTGTGGCTGCTTTGACATTACAATGACAGTGTTGAGTAGTCATGTCAGAGATAACTTGTCTACAAAGCCAAAGATATTTACTATGTGACCCTTTAGAGAAAAAAAATCTTTTTTTAGATGAAGCAGAGAGAACTGGGAAAACTTCAGTCTTGTTTGATAACACAAGACAAAAACCAGCTATATAGATCATGATCAAAAGTTTTATTGGTGTGTAATATGAGCATATGACATCCTGGATCTCTATGATGGCCTAATGCCTATTGTCTTACCAGTACCCTCCCCCACTCTCTTTCCACAGCTGCCTCCTTGGTGCAAAAAGTAAGTCCGGGAGAGAAAAACTACATTAGATAGGCATAGACAGAGAAAAATAACGTTACATTAGGTGTCTTCAGAAACTA